AGGCTTGAACTGGGGTTCATGCTGAGCATAGCTGTCAGCACAGAAGGTTATCTAAATATTCCTAGAAGTGGTTAGGTAAGGAATTAGAGGTCTATTAAAGTTAGTAAAGCTGTAAGAAAAGGAGGGTCCAAGCTAAATTGTGTAAAGCTATTATTTAACATCCACCTGACCTAGGCGGTGTCTCCTTGTGGAATTTACCTTAAATTAGGAGACTAGCATGTGGTGGTCTGGACTATTATTTCTGTTAGTCTGTGGGGCGTTTACCCAACCACCCCCACAGTTCCCCAGAGTTTTCTTGAGTGCGAGCAGCAGGAAATATTAGATAGAAGGATTTATTGCAGAGAATCTTGCGGAGATAAACAGATAGAAAATAAAGGATAGCCTCGAGAGGGCCTGGAACCTTTTCCAATGGGCCCTGACTGTCTCTGCGCCAGGGTTTTTATAGAGACGCCAAGGGGTGGAGCAAAAGACCTCCTCCCCCAGCACAGCCAAGTGCAGACCATCTCAGACACCTGCACTCAGGCCCGTGGTCTAATCATCCTCTATGCGGACCTGCTGGGTAAAGCCACGAGGAACCCAAGAACAGGCTCCCACATTAGTCCTTGAAAATGATTCCAGTGCTGAAAGGGAGAAACAGATGGGCTGGGGGAAGGAAGCCTTCCTGAGGCTGTTCTCCAAATACCTGGAATGTGTACGTCCAGAGAGAGATCAGTCTACACTGTTAGCACTTAGGGAAAAGTCAATTGGGAAAACTTTGAAGGCACACATGATTTTCATAACAGAAGACAGCTGATATATAGCAAGCCAAATAACACCAAAAGCTCCTTGGAATTTGGCTTCCTCTGGAGGAGTTCCTTTATCCCTCCAGGTAGTGGCTCTGCCATAACCAGCTGAGTTCTTATAATGTTTTTCTGCGGCCCGCAGCACTCGGGTGGGCATACCTCCTAGCGACCTGGAGGAGCAGAAGGCCCTCTCTGCTGGCTTTGAGAGCTGCCGTGTGGGCAGCCTGACTCTCAGCGGCTCAGGAAGGCCAGAGGTCTGTTGGTTTGTGTCCCCTGTGGCCTAGGTGGCCTACTCTCTTCTCCTTATGTTTACCCTCCTAGTTTATGGTGGCTTTTCATGGAACAGTAGTGGAGAGACATGGTCTCAACACAGGCCCCTTTTCATGGAACAGTAGTGGAGAGACATGGTCTCAACACAGGCCCCTTTTCAAAAGGAGCTGTACGTGGTAAGTGAAAGCTATGCACAGCAGGCCTTGACAAGCATTAGGTCATTTCCCTCCTCCAGGGAGGCCTGGCTCTCTCTTGCTCTCCTTGTTTTGGCCCAGGGCAGGTGATGACTCGATCACCCACATATGAGCTATGCACAACAGGCCTTGCAGGAGCCCAGGTGAGGGCACGGCTATCCAGAGGGAAGCAACCATTTCTATTTTTGCCAGGAAGCCTGACTCCTGTTGGGAACTGCCTTTTCTTTGTACATGGGCAGGCCCCTGCCTCACTCTCCCCACCTACCCTCCTCCTGCTGAACCTCTGCTCATCCTCTGTAACACATGTCCCCGCCCCAGCTTGGTCTGACGCTCCTCAGTGGAGCTGACCTTCTCCTCTCCCTGCCATATCATCTCACATTTTCTTCTGCATAATACATAGTGAGCCATGTGTAGTTCCCTTGTCTCTCCCAAATGATGCCCTGAGCTTCCTGAGGGCACATTTGTAAGCCACGTGCTAATCTTACAGTGCCTGCCAACACTAATTAAACACTCATTGAATTATGTATGTAATGAGTGAATGCTATAGTCTTACAGGCATCTTCACAAACAGTAGATTTTTGTTTCTGTTTCTGGCTGACCTTGAACCAGCAGTGCTCCTCCTGCCTCTGCCCTCTGACTGCTGGGATTCCAATATGTGCTACCCTGCCTGACACCAACAGCATCTTGGTATTATTACTTCAAGCCTTACACTAGAGTTTAGGAGTACGACCATCTTTTCTTCAGAGCCACTGAATGGCATTCTCATCAAATAAAGTATGAGGGACACTTGAAATACAAGGGGCTATTGTTCTGATAGCCAATCTGACATCTAGAATACTTTGTTTTAAGTTGAGCCCATGAAAGCATGTTCATTAGTGCACAAGTATTTCTACTAAGAACAATGCCCATGACCATGTAACAAGCAATGCTATGGGTGGTACCCAGTAGATCAATGAACCTGTGAGACAGGCAGTGACTCCAGCAGGCCAGAGAGCCACGTCACCCCCACCTGATGCTGGGTCTTCTCTAAAAGGTAGATTGTACTGGGGCCCAGTATATTTCACAAGTACCACTTCACCATTCCAAGAAATGGGGGCAGAAGCATGGCTGCTCAGTCCACCCTGTCAAAATACAAAGACGACAGAGGTAAGCTCCCTGGTTGCTACGGCAGGCCAGCTAAACATGGGCAAGCAAGACTGGCCGATGCCCACTGATCCAGCTCCCTGCGGCTTGAAGTCACACTTTGGGAAAACCCAGTTATAACAATCACTTCCGTAGCCAAGACTCCTAGCTTGTGTGTATTTCAAGACCGCAGCGCTGGAACGAGCAGCAGCTTCCCAACACCCAAAGAATGACGTTGAGGGCTCTCCTTGACCTTGAGTGGTTCCTGATGACAATGCCACACAAACATCATCACCAACCCCTTTGCCCTTGTCTTCTCCATAAAAATCAAAAACGGCTTTGTGCAGGAAACTGCCCTCCAGGAGCGAGTCAGGTAATGAGAGCCCCCGTGAGTGGAGAGTACTTGGACAGGGCATTTCCAGAGCAGTTTCACAGTGATTAACTAACTTGCTTCATTTCCATGTAGTTGTCACTCTGAATTACCACTTAATGGGTGAAGTGTGCAGGCGATAACAATCAGTAGCACAGGCGTAAGGAAGCAAGACATTAAAAAAAAATTAGCCCCTGCAGCAATTAATTGCAGTGAATTTTTCAAATAGTTTTAATACTCTGTCTTTTGACCCCAGGGTCTGGCTTGAGGAAAAATATATTAATCTCAAGATAATAGTTAGTCAACTTCACCTCTTCAATATCCACAATGATATTAAAGATTCCAACCTTGCGCTTTTTGGTTGCAAACATTAATTAAGCATGATAATTGTGTGTCTCCATGATATTTGGTGTTTTCTGTAGGAGTCAGAGCTCAGGGAATAATTTGAATACAGCAGATAGCAATTTGCTACATAAATCCATCCCAATGGCTATTAGCTCATTTGAGAATAGTCAAGACTCCTAGATTAGAGGATTTTTAAAAAATTAAATACCATGTTAATCACATAACCCTTTATTCACCCTTCCCAAACCCTCCAGAAAACAGTTCTTCAAGATCAAGTACAATAAGATGTTGGTAGAAGATATAATCAGTGGGTTTTAACATAATATCCTAGACTGTAGAGTTCTGTAAACACTATCTTGGTATCTCTCGACACAGGCAAAGGGGAAGTTCTTGGTTTATTTTATTTCCATTTATTTAGTGGAGTGGGGAACATGCATGCCACAGTGCATCTGTCAAAGTCAGAGGACAATTTGCAGGAGTTGGTTTTCTCACTCTACCATGTGGGTCTAGGTCTCAAACTCAGGCCATCAGACATGTCAACAGGTACCTTCACCCTCTCAGTCATTATCATGCTGGACCAAGAACTTGCTTTAAACTTTGACTTTTAGCCTAAATAATTTCAACAAGAGCTATGTCTTGGACTATGTATATTCCACAGACTGTTTCAATACTGCCAATATGAAGACTGTGAAAACAGTTGAAAACTGGAGGGGGAACTGAAATCGAATCAGTGCTAAGAATGGGGGGGGCGGCTTGGAGCTGCATTTCAACTGCAATTAAGATGAACCCAACTTGCTGCACAGACCTGGGAGTGGCCAGCACACCTGAAACCCACGTGTGCTCCCAGGCACTTGGCCTTGCCCACCAGCCACTAATCTGCTCTGCTGCTAGTTCTCCACTGAATGGCAGTTTGGGAACAGCAGGGAGGCTGGAGGCCACCTGTACCAACCACTTCAAACAGCCCCATCAGACCTGTAAGGTGCCAGGCAGGAGCAGCCTGAGAGCTCACCCATGGCTCACACACTCTGGATGTGGAGATGTACACAGGGCAGACGCAGTGCTTCACCCTTCCAATAGAGTAAGACTTAGAGAAAGATAAACGATTCCGTGTTTAAAACGTGAGGCAGAAGAGGTCTGGTATGTCTTCCTGAGTCTCCCCAAGAAGAAAAGAGTTCTAAGAATAGAACTTAGGGCTCCATATATGATAGGCCAGCAGATTACTACTGAGCTACATTCTCTGCTCTGTCAGTTTGAAATTATTCACAAGTAAGTACAAAAATATTTGGCCACTGTTGCCAGTCAAAAAGAACCTAAGAGATGTGCACCCCAGTCTGGACGCAGGCTGTATGTTCTTTGTTAGAAACAGAGCGAAGAGCACAGGTTCTGAGTTAGGACAAATCTACACCCAAACACCAACACTGTCCTTATAAGTCAAGCTTGACCTCATCTTGGTTTCTCCATCTGCCAAATGGAGAAAACAGCCTACCCCACAAAATTAGTCTGAGTAAATAAGGCAGACCTATAAAATGTCATAATGCCTGGTCTGTAGTAAATAATCAATGATGCTACTTGTCTTTGGAAGTGGCTAGTGGGGGTAGGGGCGGTTACCACGATTGCTCCTGGGCTATGGAGATACAGGGACGATCAAAGCATGATTTCCTGATGCTACCCTCAGTAGACTCTCCTGAGCTTCTTCATCTCTGGTTGGCTCTGCTGCACCAGCGTCTCTTGGCCAGCAGTGGCCCCTCAGAGCAGGGCACCCTCTGTACTTTACCCTGTGCAGCCAACGTATCCTGTGTCTTGCGACTGAAACATATTCTCTGGGAAGTACAGCTAGACCACTTGTGGTCCCCTGGCTTCCCTCTGCTAGCATTCGTGGTAAGACGGACCCGGGCGGCTAGTTTGGTGACTGCTTACCTCAGAGGCGATAGAGGTAAAGCTGCTGCTGAAATGCACGTGCTTATGGATCTCGCTGCCATTGGCGGTCAGAAGCCAGTCACCAAAGGCCTGGTCTTGGCCATCTGACTGATTGCTGTGGCTCTGGTTGGGCAGGAGCTCGGCCATGTCCCAGTGATACGATGGTGTAGCTCCAATTAGTGCAATGAGGATGGCCTCTGTGGCCACATAAAGCTGAAAGGAAACACACAGAATCAACTGCTGCAGACGTGGACGTGTGTGCGGACAACTTGGGAAGCCTGCAAACCTTGAAAGATACAGTGATTAGGCTAGGGATATAGCTCGGCGGGTAGGGTGTTTGCCTACCACTGCCTAAACCCTGCCTGGTACATCACCTCTATAATCCCAGTACTGAGGGGGTGGAGGCAGAAGGATCCAAAGTCCAAGTTCACCTTCAGTTACACAGTGAGTTCCAGAAAGCTTGAAATGCATGATGCTCTAACTCAGGCAGACAAAGGAGAAAGGAGGAAGAGGGGCGGTTCCTCTTCCAGAGGAACCAGATTTCATTCCCAGCACCTACACGGCGGTTCGGAACCAACCATCCACAGCCCCAGTTCCAGGAAATCCTATGCCCTTTTCTGACCTCCACAGGCACCAGACATGCATGTAGTACACATACATACATGCATGTAAAACATGCACAAACATAAAGTAAGAATAAATAACCAAAGAAGATGAGGAGGAAGAGGAAGAAGAGGAAGAGGAAGAAAGGGGCCGGGTGGGTGGTCTTGCTTCTATGTTTTGTCTTGTTGTAGCTAGAAATGGGCCACATGAGCAGCCAGGAAGACAAACATGAAGAAGCAGAGTCCCACGCTGTGGGGGCCATCAGCAGTCTGTTCGTGGAGCACTGTGCACTGCTTCAGACAATTTTCCTTCCACATCTGGGATGTGTCTGATGCCACGGGCTCCGTGTGATACTACAGCACTGGCAGCAAAGCCCACACCACTGGCTCTGCTTTAAAAGACTGACATTCCAGTTATTTCCTTCTCAGCCATGTTTCCAGCTCAAATAATCGGTTCCCAGGAGCCAGGAGGCGCTTGGCTTTGGAGTCGCAACCCAAACAGCACATTGTTTTAAAATGTGACATGCAACACTTAAGACTTAACAAGATGCAGAATCTGAGGCGTATTCAGATTACACCTTGTAGATGTATTTAATCTTGGTTTAATCTAACCATAACTGTTCATTAATAAGGAAAAAATACAGCACCAATTCATTCAAGAAATATTTACTGAATACATATGCCATTAGCCGATTGCTGTAGATCTGGTGACTTCTCGCAGTTGGGTTTATGGGTTGTTGAGCCCTCTCAGACTTTACTGATATGGATATGTTAGCTCTCACTGCTAGATGATTATTTCAGATTTGAAATTCGCTAAGAAAATACATAATTAGTCTGCAAATTAAGACAATCTTATTTTAGGAAAATAAGATCCCTGTTAACTTTGAACTTGGTCTTAAAATACCATTAAACAGAGTGTCTAAAAAATACAAAGCATGTGATTCCTATCAGTGTATGGCCATGAGCCCACTCACTGTAAGAGCTGACCGAGGCATATAAAGACAGGCAGTCTATCAGAGGATTCCTGTTCAGTTCACCAAGCACTCTAGCTGGGGGCTCTTTCCACACCACTCTGCAGGGCATGCTGAGCTCAGTAGATAAACAGAAGAACTAACAGTGGAATTTGATCAGTGGTACACAATAGAATTAGTCAAGGAAAGAGAAAAGGAGTCGTGATATTTTGTGCATTTATCAGAAGCTAATGTAAAATCTGAGTTGTGACTTCTTCCCTCTTGGTAAGGCTGAGGGGACACAAAGCAGCCCCACACTATTGTGAGTGGATGGACTGGACCTTTTGGGAACAGGGCAAAGTTACCCTGGTTCATATGCTGTGAGATTTATTATAAGGCACACAGGAAAGTATGTTCCTAGGCGCCCATGCTTCCTGGACCTTATCTGCATACGATTAAGGACATTTTAGAAGAGGAGGCAATCAGCGTATAAAAATAAAAACCTTAATAATCACAAGAACAAATAGATTACACATCTAGCAGTAGCTATAATTACAAAGCCACTTTCATCCATTTACCAACTGCCCCTCTGATTACAATCTGCTGAAATTTAATTGATGGGTATAAAGAAATGAAAAACATGGGCCAAGGGAACGCAGGAGATGACTCAAAGCACAGCCTTTCATCAGGCAAAACAAACTAGCCACGTTCCCTCTCTAAATGTGCCCCTTCTACCTCTGCGCACTCCGCTCCTCTCCCCAGAGGCACCGTCTCCTGTGGAGCAATGTTAAAACGCTTCTCCTTCTCTGAAAGTCAGGCTCATTTACCGGTTTCCTCACCGACTCGGCTTCCTCTCCAGTGGTCTAGAAGTCGTGCTCATGCATAGTTGTTATGTCTGACTCATCTTTTGGCTTCCCAAATAAATAACCCAGGGTCCCCACACTCAACAAGGGAGATGAATAAGTGACCAAGAAGGACATCAGCACATGCTTTCATAATGCTAGCCATGTGCCTGCCATTCCTAGTACAGGTTTCTGCTGAATATATATTAATACATGGTATTTTTTTTTAAATTTTTTTTTTGGTTTTTCGAGACAGGGTTTCTCTGTGTAGCTTTGCGCCTTTCCTGGAACTCACTTGGTAGCCCAGGCTGGCCTCGAACTCACAGAGATCCGCCTGGCTCTGCCTCCCGAGTGCTGGGATTAAAGGCGTGCGCCACCACCGCCCGGCCCATGGTATTTTTATCTGGAGTGTTCTAGAAGCAATATTCTAGATAAAAGAGGACATGCTCTAAAGGATACTCTCATCTGAGGTGTGCCTCATAATGAAGGCCACTGTTCTGGGTATGTACTACAATTTGGGGAAAACAGTTCAAAATGAAGAGGTGCTATTGTATCGCTTTACTCTTCGGGAACCACGGAGACTAGTTAACCAGCATTGCGTGTTTTAAGCACTGTGAGCACACTTCATTCCTAGCCATCTGGAAGCAGAATAAGCACTTTCTATCTTTCTCATCCTCTCTGCCCTCCTCCCCGTCTCACAATGTCTTCTTGGTCCCCTTTATGAACAAGCCTGAGTGTGCACGCACGCACGCACACACACGCACACACACACACACACACACACACACACACACACACACACATTCAAGGTGCTCAATACATGGGTTCATATTTTTACATTAACAGAGAGGCCTAACAAATGCAACTCTTCTATGCGGTACCAGCCCGTGGTCATGCTCAGCTTTGTTACTCACCGGGCAGACACAGTAGTCAGGGAGCAGCCATGCTGTGTGATGAACATTACACAAGAGCACCATGAGGTTAGGTCAGAGACGGGAGGCTCCAAGTCCATAGCTATATTAGCGTTGATCTTCCATACCACAGGGACATCCTGGGGTTACGTGGTCATAGAAGTCAAAGGTGACATAACCAGCCCTGAAATGTACCACCCCCACACAACATGGGGGTGATTTTCTTCGGTTTGCCATTTTTGACTGTGACATTTCCACACAGTTCACACATCCGACTCTGTCCCCCAGAGAACAAAAGCAGTCTCTCACTCTTTACTATCACTCTGCCATTACCATGTGCACACTCACCCACATTTTTGTCCAATGAAATCACACCTATCAGCAGATGGGCTTCAAAGCCACAGTAGGAAACCACCATCTATTCGCCTTCCGAGTGGGATAACAACATCTCAGATAAATCATTCATGTCCTTGGGCTCCAGCTCCAGGGAAGAACAAGTACCACAGATGGCTGGATCCCCCCCCATTCCACCCCTCGCCCCAGTGGAATTACACTTAGGATGATTCAAGGGTATTAAAATTTCAAGTTTCTGAAAGTGAAGGTTTCTAAAGTAATTTTGTAGTAACACCATTATGGGGGGCTTTCATAATACTTCTCGGGAAACCATCACAACCCTAACGGTGAAGTCATGGCTATGTCTGATATTTACTTTGTGAGTCGGAACAAGACACAGGGCAACCAAAAACCATCCAAGGTCTTCTCTACCCACAGACCAAGAGGAAAGTGGGTTCGTCTAGTTTTAGGGGCAGATCTTTTTCAGGGGAACATAAAGGACAAAAATCAAAGCTGAATTCATTGCTGGCATTACTATTAGTGTTTTATGCACTTAGGACTCAATTGTTTAACTGGTCAACCAGAAACACTGTGTGAATAAGGCCCCAATCATGAAAGCTAGACCACATGCCCAGCGTCTGGAGCAGAGAGCATTATTAGCTCTTGACTGAGTGACTTGTGGAGGAGGATGCATTTGGGAGGTTTGAAAGTGTGGAATTCACACATTCTAAATCACTGGTGCCTCTCTTCTCTACTCTAATCCATCTACAGATACCAGCTCAGTTTCCTGAAACTCCTTAGCAAACTCTTCCGGTTGAATCGTGTTAGTGGGTGCAGGATTATTTTCCTATAGCCCACCTGCTAACTCGTCCACACACAAGCTGCCTGCACTGGCCTAGTCACCCCCAGGTGTGACTTACCATGTGCTGTGAGAGCACACGGGTCTTCACCTGAGTCTGAGGCTCAGCTACAGTCACTCTCTACACTCATGTCTTCTTGCAATACAATTGGATCTTAATGACATGTCTTTGCCTATGCACACCTATCTAACTAGCCTTTCCGGAGGGTCCAATGGGATACTTCTTTACTGAACAGCAAAGTTGTACAGTGCTATGCAAGTGGTATGCACCAGGACTCCCCAAACTGGAATCGGCAGAGACTTCATGGATCAGGGTGAAGATTGACTGCTTCTTACCAGCTCCAAAATAGATTCTGTATCACTTGTTTATTTGTTTTAATGGACTGTATGTGTGCATATGTGCATGTGCCTGTGTGTGTGTGTGTGTGTGTGTGTGCCTGTGCCTGTGTGTGTGTGTGTGTGTGTGTGTGTGTGTAGGTGTCAGTGGAGACCAGAAGAGGGTGCGGGATCTCCTGAAGCTGGTTACAGGTAAGCTGCCTGATATGGGTGCTGGGAGCCAAACTCAGGTCCAGCACTTGCAAGGACATCACATGACAGGATTTGGAAGAAACTGAGTTAACTCTAGGATATTTTCATGGAACCCTAAGAAGTGTGCTATCTGCTCTCACTCCTCTGACTGGACTATTGCTTTTGCCAAGAATCCCTTCTCCTAAGCT